ATTGAGGTGTTCTGTTGTTGGATGTAATAATGAACATAGCAGTCGTCATTTACTCCCGACATCTGAGCCGCTGAAGACGCACGCAGAGGATTAACGTTACTTTCGTTTTGAAGGGAATGCGCCGATCCCCGATCTGCCTAAATGCGTCTATGTTCGCGCGAATCATTCATAATCCAGCTTCATCTACAGAAGTGAGTATAAGGGTTTTTTTAATGAATCTTTGCAAATTGCCTTTCCTAATATGTGCTAGTTAGCAAGTTTCGCGGCTGAAGTTTACAGTCTGCTCGTAGTCCCTAAAGAATCATATCAACTTGTGGAAAATGGGCATCCGATGACCCCTTTAAATTAACAGTGTGGACAGTTAGTACTAAACATTGTATGTGAAAACTAATTCTGACTGTCCATAATATGAACATGAGAGTGCCACTCACAAAAATAAAGCAGTCAAAAGACTGTTTCTGATGTTTGACTACTGTGTTTTTTCTCTTTCTGTAGATCCTCATTTGGAATCTTGAGATTGGAGAGCCGGTGAAAATGATTGACTGTCACACAGACGTGATCCTCTGTATGTCATTTAACACAGAGGGCAGCCTACTGGCCACCAGCTGCAAGGACAAGAAGCTCCGCGTCATCGAGCCCCGCTCTGGCAAAGTGCTACAGGTGTGGATTGTGTGCATTTTGTCTTACAGTATATGCACTTGAACAAAGCAGCACAACGTCAATAATAAGAAGAAATGTTTCTTGAGCACCAAATCAGCATATTAAAATTATTATAGAATAGAATAGAGTAATCATATTTTTCATGCATGATTTTGTAAATGCACTGTTGAGTAAAATTGTTTGCTGAAACTGAAAATTTCACTTATTTTTGTTTTACATTGTCAAGCAGGAGGCGAACTTTAAAAACCACAAAGTGAACCGTGTTGTGTTCCTAGGCAACATGAAACGACTCCTAACGACAGGTGTGTCTCGCTGGAACACACGCCACATTGCTCTCTGGGACCAGGTGAGAACAACCTGTGTATGTGTGTGGGTCAGGTTTTGAAATGATCAAATGACCCTACAAGGGTAGTTAAACATGAAATCAACTTCATTCTGCGACCAGTCAACAGTCTCTGTAAGGAAAACAATTAAAAAACACAAAACATTGTCTTAATTAAACTGTAAATGCTGACATGTGTCTGTGAGGATCAGGGCTAGGGGTTTGTGTAGTTTTAGGGGTTACAATATACAGTATCATTAGTTCAGTTAAAGACAAATTAAAGTCTTCACCATGGCAGATAAGCAAATGTATGTGTGTTTTTGTATGAATAATTCCCAAAACTCATCCAGAAATACACATTGTCCCTGATGTCTGCATTACCCTAAAGATTACCATGCTGAAAGTAGTTATGTTTTCTTCTCAGCATCTTCCCTGTAATTATTGTGTGATAATCACATTCATTGTAAGTGTAGCTAAACAGCTACACTCAACTGCAGTAATGAGAGAATGCGGGGAAAGAAGCTGGTTGTGTTGCTCTTAGTACATTGTCAGGGTTCAGAGAAAGCCCTGTATGGCAAAAATATTTTGTAAAATGGGAAAATTGCTCTCTGCGAATCTGGGTTCAAAGTTATTTGCTCTCATACTGCACTGTCTTTCATAACAGGAGGATCTGTCCATGCCAATCATTGAGGAGGAGATTGATGGCCTTTCAGGATTGCTTTTCCCTTTCTATGATGCAGACACACATATGCTCTACTTAGCAGGAAAGGTACATATTACTCCATCCTGTTAAGGATTCTTACATGCTTTAAAGGGGTCATATGATGCGATTTCAAGTTTTCCTTTCTCTTTGGAGTGTTACAAGCTGATTGTGCATAGATAAGATCCCTGAAGTTGCAAAGACTAAAGTCTCAAAACTAAAGAGATATTCTTTATCAAAGTTAAGACTCTGCCACGCCCCCCTAAAACGGCTCATTCTAACACGCCCCCACATATCTACCTCACCATGTGGAAATATTTGCATAATGCGCCCAAATGATCACGCAAAGAAAGAAGGCGTGGTTTCAGTAACAGCAGTTAGTGTTGATGCAGCCATGTCAGGAGACGCTGTGTGTTTCTAAGCGAAAGCAAAAGCACTTTATTTGGCCTTACGAAAGTAGATGCATTTAGGAATCTTTAAGATTACTTACAACAGAACAGCAATGCATTTTATGGACGACCGTTTCGTGAACCTAGGAGAGGAGGTAATTCTGACTTTGCTATGACAATCTGGCGCTTCTGAATCAGCTACTGTTTTGCTATTAGTTTAAGTATTTGCTATTGACTGTTCAAATGCGGAGTTTTGCGCATCACGTGTGTGTGTGTGTGTGTGTGAG